GCTTGCTGTCAGAATCATTGCCTAATAAATAGGTGAGGACACCTGTACTTAACCTTTACTTTCTACCAACCAGCCCCAGCCAGTTCAGCTTCCTAAGTAGTCATAGATTGCTCTAATTATTTCCTTTACAAACCAAAAACCAGGCACAGTTTTTAAAGGCGATATGCTACATTGCCTTTGGCAGACCAATATATACGCTGCTGTTTGGGCGCTGTATTTTATATCAGCTTAATGGGGAATGGTTAAAATTGTTAGTGATAGAATCAGATTTCTGGGTTTAAACAAATCTCCTACGTAATAGTTGTGCAAATTCAGGCATTTCTCTTAAACTCTCCTGTGTCCTAGTTTCCTTCTCTGTGCTCTGCTGCTTATGGTGTGGACCAAATGCAAGTGCAAAGCAAACAGCTGGAAAACAGATGGCACTAATAAAAATTACCCATAATTACTAATATTGCTATCATTATTATTACCTGGAATTCAGCTTCTACTGGAGATGGTTCACTGGGTGGATCTCTTTTCTTCATGTTAAGTAGATATGGATGTAATTCAGACAAGCTCACTTCTGTTTCTCCAAACTGATTGTATTCCACTAAGGCTTGATGGATCAAGATGTACTGTGCCTACAATTAAAAAAAAATACAGATAGTGCATTGAAAACTTAGAATCCTATAAGTCACATTCAAATAAAATACACATTCCCATAATTTTGCTCAGAGGTTTTTTTCTCAGAGTGTTCTGGAATATGAGCGAATTCCATTTCAGACTACTTTTTCAGGAAAAAAAAAATAGCTTGACAAATAGATTATTCATGTACTGTGTATTGCATTGCTTTTTTTCTTATTCCTAAAAATTAAAAAAAAACAAAACAAAACATTGCCTGTTGCTTCGTTCAATGATTATTGCTGAGTTGCTAAATCAAACTACTAATATATAAAACTGTAGGGCCAGGCACAGTGGCTCACACCTGTAATCCTAGCACTCTGGTAGGCCAAGGCCAGAGAACTGCTTGAATTCCAGAGTTCGAGACCAGCCTGAGCAGGAGCCAGACACCATCTCTACTAAAAATAGAAAAATTAGCCGGGTATGGTGGCGTGTGCCTGTAGTCCC